TTAAAAATGTTCTGAGGCTAAAAATATGATAAAAACACAAGCTTTCGACTGCTTAAATTGCAGTTTTTAACCCGCTGAAGTCTGCAGTTTAACCAGTTGAAAGGTTGTCTTTTTTATCATATTTTTAGTCAGAGAACGTTTTTAAATTTTACCATGATTCCTCCTCGTTATGGTCTCTCGATATTTTCGCTTTTTATTTAATGTGTTTGTAGCTTTTAATAATTTTATATTAGCGTAGACTGACTTATATTTCGTGTATGTTTGAGCCACATGGTTTATATTAACCAGTTTACATTATTTTCAGTTTATTTTTGACAACATATGCAGTATTAAAAGCAACAGGGGTGCCCTTTACTCCAGAATTGAAAATGAACTAAATGCACTTCTTTGAACAGACAAACTTTATACGTTTTTTAGACCGATAATGCCTGCCAGCTGTTTCATAATGGTTTTTGGAAAATTGCCGTATTCATTTGGTACCCGTATGTCGCCGATATTAAACTAAAGACCCTTTTAACGTGCCTCAACGCACGAAAAAAAAATACAACACTAACTGTATTTCCTGTGTTGTATTTCCCATTTGGCATTCAAATTAAATGACGTATATATTTCTTTTCAAGTTTCCCTTTCATTGTTTTTAATAAATAGTCCATCGCGTGCCTGGGTGTCGCTCGGTCCGATATCCATGTCTATAAAGAAACGGTTGCCAGCTGCCGATCGAGTGCTTCTTTGATTTCCCTTTGTGTGCTGTTCTGTAGCAGGGAGGAACGTTTGCCTGAGGAAGATTGTTGCTGTTGTTTTTGTGGTAAATTGCTCTAATGCCTTCCCACCAATGCTGACGACGGATGAAAATAAGCTGTTACCTTTGAGCTCTGAAAGGCAAGCAACAGATTATACTCGTGCGTCAGTGTAATTCTTTAGTAGTTGTTCATTATTTGCCAGTCTGACGCTTATGTAATAATCCGCACTCTTTTGCCGAAAGCTCAGTTTTCTGCGTAGCAAAAAGTTAATCATATTAAATGTATTTTCAATAAGTACGCGGGCGAAAAGCTACTGAGGGATTCTTGTTTTCATATTCAAATTTCGATTACGTTTTTTTTTTTCAAAAAAAGACCCACACAATGAAAGCTTTACTGCAAACAACAGGGATCTATGCCAGAACTAAGCACCAAGTTTCTTTACATTTCATTTCTCCTGTTTAGGAAAAACATCAGTGGAAACATCACGGCCAAAAGACCGGTTAGTTGAAATTCTTTGGGTTACGTCATAGCAGACGAACTGACGACACAAGGTTTAATTTGCTTCGTTTTACACCTCCGCGGTGAGTGGTTTTGGACGTAAGTCATTTAGTCCAACACTGTATCGGACAATGACCTCGCATTGTTAATATAAACAGAGAAAACGAGTTGATGTAAGCTGAAATTTGTGGACGGAGTTGAAGGTTTCATTTGTGTTGCTTGTTCGCAGTGCTGGTTTTAAATATTCACTGCTCTCAGACATAACTGGATTGATCGGTGAAGACCTATTGTTATCACTGTATAGAGATTAGTGCTGCAAGAACTGTCTGCAAAAGAGAGGAAAACAACTTCATCTGGGAAGAATTAAATATATATTTCAAACAGCTTCGTAAACTGAAATGTGACCGTCTCAGGGAAAATGTCTATGCTTGAAGTAAACAACACAACATCTGCCGCAGTTCAGGACCAGATGGTGAGCGATGAACGACGACTTGAAGCTCTACCACAACTGCTACCTATCGGTTTTTTAATAGTTCTGACAAACTTTGTGGTTTTCCTTCTCTTCTACTCAAGCCAAAGTTTACGAAAACCCTCTAACTATCTCTTGTTAAGTTTGGCAATTTGCGACTTCCTGAACGGCTTTGTGAACATTCCGCTCTTCTTATTGGTCTTCATCCGAGTGGTTAAAGGGTCTAAATTCCTCGTTCTTCTTTGCGCTGTTGAGGTTTCACACAATTTTATCGCCATCACAGCCGCTTGCCACATCGTTCTGATAACCGCAGCGAAGTACTTGGCTGTGATGCGGCCTCTGAAGTACCACGTGATCAAGAAGAGAACAATGCTGCTTGTGATTGGTGGAGCTTGGATCATTTCTGCTCTCGTAGCGGCAGCTCCTATCGGCTGGTTTTCCATGAGAAATCGCAAAGAGCGAACCGGTTTGATCTTGGAAACTGCTTTCAATGTTTTCTGCCTGGTCGCAGTCTTTGTAGTGCCTTATACCTTTATCTTATTTGCTTACATCACCATGTTTAGAAAAGTTTGCAAGAGAAACCACCACCGGGGTCTTAACAGACGTACGAGGTCCAGAAGTCGCAAGAAGAAGAAAACCGAACGGAAATGCCTAATCATTTTTGCTACCATGGCAACTGTTTTCGTCGTCTGCTGGTTCCCCTGGTTTGTCTTGCGCCTGATTTATTCTTTGATCGGACAGCGGTTGATCCAACATGACCCTGTTGCCATGATGATCACTGCACAGGTTTTCCTGATCGTCAGATACCTTACGTCATTCATCAATCCTCTGCTTTACACATTTTTCAAGCAGGACTTTTGGAGTGCGCTGAAACGAACGGTCATAAAGATGTCGAGCCGAGAAAAGATCTCAAACTCACGACCTCGGACAGCAGGCTGAAACGACGATCGACAAAGAAGTCGACAAACCGTAATCAAACTAACTCTTTGAAAAAGTCGAGAGTGCAAAATCGCAAACATTTGTGCAATCGTGTTCAAGTCGTGTAGCTACTAGGGTAACGGATTTCAAGTGCGTGTTTGCGATATAATTTTAGGGGCAGGGCCGTAACGAGTTATAGGCAAACAAAAGCACTTCCCTCAGTCATTTTTTCGTTTTTGTTGTTTATAGAATAGTTATCATAAACACCCTCAATGCCAAGGAAGAGAATTTAACCATGGGCATTGCCTTAACATAATATCTCTTTCTGGTTACGACCTTGAAAGGTTCGGCTAAAATAATAGGGTTAGGGTGGGGTCCAAACCTTACTGACAGCAAATGAATTGTATCGTGTGTAAGATCCCTGAAATTGATGCGTGCGTGTAATGATAAAGGAGAATTACCTCTTCCTATATGACCTATATGTTAACACGGCCCAATATCAAAGGGAGGATTCTGAGTGGTTTCTTTAAGAGTTTTAAATTTTGCAACACGGATCCGGACCACAAAAATGGACCGCCCACGGATTAGTTTCGACCAATTGCTACTCCAAGCATTGTACTAAAAAATGTAAGAAAGCAGAGATCTTTTACCCTTGAGTTCAACGTCCACGCTACTTCGATAACATTTTAATACAAAACTGCGGGGAACAATTAATTCAACGCAGAACCACTGCGTTCACATTGACGACTTTATCGGGGTCGGCAAATCTCTCAGCCCTTTCTAGCCATGTGGCTATCTAATCTCCAACCCATCAGCCGAAAAACTCTTTCATTTTCCAAAACTTAACTCTCCGAGAGATTGGGCATACTTTTAGAACAATAAGTTAACATTTATCATAACGACTCGAGAAATTCTTTTAGCATTAGGCTTTGAAGAGGAACTTTGTTGAACACTCGGGCGAACAAACCATCTTTTGGGCTTGTTGGCTAAATTTTCACATATCATTTAGTTTAATCAGAAGCTCATATGTCGATAGCAGCTGCTCTTATTTCCTTTGGAGAAATGCGCCACAAGGTTTGAGGAAAATTTTTCACTTTTAAAATATCCTGCTGATAGACGAGGGAAATCAGTAACTATTTTACCTTAGTTTACACCACATAAGTGAATGGTGCTTTTCTCGCTATCTGATTGATCAACTTGGAGGTGATTTGCAAAGTGCTAGTCATCTCCACTTCGATGAATAATTGTTAAATATTAATAAGAGATTGTAGAGATGAGAGAGTTTCCTCATTTTCTTTAATAAGGCTTTATTCTCTGCAAAAGTGAGAAATTTTGAAGTTTTTGGGACAAATGTAAAACGTGGACAAAAGAATTCTTCATAGGCAGAATTATGTTTGAGGACTTGCGATGTCTTCTGATGAAAGTCATTAATCTTGTAACAGCTTCCATACTAAGTCAGAGGTTAAATTAAATAAAAACGTTATCTTATGCAGGAAACAAGAGGCCACCCGATTGATAAACCGTTTCTGAACTTGCATTAGGGGCACCCAACGACGATTTTCTCTCAAATACATTAAAAGACTGTTTTAGGTTATTTGGAGTCAAAATCCTCACCCATTCATTTAACTTATTACTGTAGTTTTCTTCGCAGCAGCCCTCTCGGTTCCCTTTAGTTTTGACCGGAAACACTTTGTCACCTCTCTGCAAAAAAGGGCATGGCAGTTCCTTTTTGCCTAATACCTGGAAAATCGCTTCAATTCTTGAGTTAATATTGTTTTTCCAAATAAGGTTTCTTTTCGCGTTATTTATTTGGGTACTCTGTACGGGTAAACTTTGTTTAACTTCGATGCTTGGTGACGTGTGTCAAAATCACTAACGTTTGGCGTCACGATAAGACAAGGTTTTTGATTGGTGTAGTCTGTGAATTTTGGCGCGATCTACCCAGGAACATATTAGCGAAGTTGTCATTGGCTAAAACGCGCAAAGAAATGCGATTCTGGTTTTAATATGAGACGTTGGTAGCGTGACGACCAAGAACAAAGGCTTGCGAAGTGCTCACGTCAAAGCCACAGGCGATGTAAGCTTCACATATGTTTTAATCCGTTCTAGTTATGTAAACGGTCCCGTTTTGCTCGTAATCTTTTCCAGATATTTGAAGTATTTCCATTAGTAAAGTTACAAGAGTTCACAAAGCTACGACAGCCGCGAACGAGACAAGCTTATGTTCCACGTGAACAGACAACAAAATTCGTCCCGGTAGCCGGTGCCAGCGCGGTTACCGGGCTCATATATGAAGAGGCCCTAAGTGGTGTACTCACGCGTAACGCTACCTGTGGCTGCGTTACAGCGGGAACCCATCGGCCAGAAAGGTGAGTCAAAGACGTAAACCTTGCTCAAGCGTATTTTTATTTCATCCCATTGAAGTTGAGAGGTGTCATAGGTGCTGCCAGCGAAGGAAAAAGTAGGAACAAAGATAAGCTATCTTACATGTTTGCAGTCAGCTTACACCTGAGAAGATCTCGTCGTGTAAAGCGCCTGAAATTTGAGAATAATCATAGACATCTCACAACAGCACAGCCGAATAGTAAAGGCGACTTTTACTGCATATCTGATGAAGAAAATTGAAATAGCTTCTGGTATATAAAAGAATAAACTCTTGAGATCTCGATGTTATTCGAAACGAAAATCTTAAGAATTAATATTAGATCTTAAAACAACATCGACTAGAAATTACAATATTACTTCGAGGACAATGAGCTGGGACAAGATGGCAAATTCGGAGTTACGGGCTTTTCTTTTTTTGTTAATTTAGCGGCTATTCCTTGGATGCTTCTTCAAACGTTACGGCTAATAATGTTACATGTAAGTGTGATGTTCTTAAACGAGGTCTTGTAGTAATATTAGCAATACAGAACGTCTCCCTAGCTGTTGAAATTCGTCAAGAAGCTTATGCAAATTTTAGAAATTTTTTTGGTCACGTAGCTTGCGTGACGCAGGTTCCGTTGCATGAACGGTGCCAATATAAGAGTTTGTATGGTAATATAACAAACGTATCAGCAGCTACAGAGAGGTAAATCGCGGTAGACTACGAGTGGTCCCTTTTCCGTCCAGGAAAAAAAAAAACCGCGATAAAAAAATGGGCGCTAGAAATCTGGTAGCTAGAAAACCAGATTTAATTCAAGTGATCTTAAATTACTGATCCTGATCCAGATCACCCCAAAGAAACGCACCATAAGTAACAGGGACCGAAAAGCCATGCGAAAAATGTTTCTTTATTTGAGTAACAATGACTTCTTGACCGATTCTAGAATGTCAGATTCTGATATTCACGGCTAGAAATTCTAGTAATATAAATAATATCTTGTTATTACCCTCAGACCATGACAGCTCGTGTACTAACAACGTTTTGGAGATTTTCATCTGGCTTCCGAACGCCAAGCAGAAAAATAATTGTCCACCTTTCTTCATTGCAAATTCCAACTGCAACTGCCACCACAGCGAGCATTTTTGAGCCAATACCCAGAGAGGAGCTGGTGACGAAATTCAAGTCGAGGCTAAGAGACAGGCAGTTTCTTCCAGGCTCCACGGGCGGTGGTTTCCCAGAGTTCCTAGCAGAGCCAAGAGATTCATTCCCACTCGGCGTGCGAGTAAATAATAGGAACCAGTCCTCTCTCACGGAGCTGACTGAGAAATGCATGGATTACGTGGAGGAAAACTTCCCACATAGCCCCGCGATATTGTTCCGTGATCTGCCAGCTAAAACAGCAGAGGACTTTTCGATCATTGCTCAAGCGATTAAAGGGAAAACTTTGACTTACGACGGTGGTACGGCATTTCGGACCCAGATTGACAAAAGTGCCGGGACCTACACGGCCAGCATCGACCCACCTAGTTATACAATAGAGCCGCACAATGAAATGGCTTTTAATGATGTCTTCCCTTCCAAGGTAAGCTGATACATAGCCTGCTTTGTATTGTGTTTCGGCGAAAAGAACGGGTGAAAAAAAGGCTAGGGACTTGAGGTGAGAAAGCCCGTTAACTCTCTTTCTTTCTTCCCAAGATCCCCCTCATTCTCGCGCTCGGCTCGTTCTCCTATTGCTCGCCCCCACAAACCGACAGCCTGGAACAGACTAACTTGTTCAGCTGCTTACTATGTTTCACTTCTTTTGTAGGTGTTCTTCTTCTGCCTAAAACAGGCTGCTGAAGGCTGCGGTGGTGAAACACCACTTGTGAAAAACAAGGAACTTCTCTCTAAACTTGACTCTGCAGTTGTACGAAAGTTTGAAGAAAAGAAACTGCGATATGTACGCTACTTGCCGGACAAATCTCGCGGGGATTACATGAACTGGCAGCACGTTTTCTTTACTGAGAACAAAGAGGTATTGTATACAGAAACAGTCAACCTGTCAACTTTATTCGTAGTGGAGTATAAATTGAAAAACAGTCGCAAAAGTTATCTGTGGAGGCGAACCCTGCGAGAACACAAAGCCGATTATTTTTCACTTTTTACCCCACTAACAGACAATTTACGGGTTATTAACAATTACTGAAAAGGGTTTGTCATTTCATAGCCTTGTTTATATACACTCCACAAGTGAAACGCGTTTTGTGATTGGTCGAGAATGTATCACGTGACACGCAGTTAGACTCATTACGTCGTGCATCTTGCGATCACAGCAATGAACGCCTTTTGCATGGACATCGCTAAATTGGTTTTTGAATTGAAAGATAGAACGAAAATAGAAGAAATAATACTGACATCACCGAAAACAGAGAGGTTTTCATTCTCTTTGACCTCCAATGTTCCCTCATCGCTTTTTTCCGCTCACGCAAGCCTCCCAGAGCCTCTTCAATGGCTGCGGCGAGGCAACGAGTAGAATTTAGTCGTTTCGTTATATCAGGGTGTTTAACTAAGTTTCAAGAATCATTACCTAGTGCAACAGCGCCTTAACTCTCTTCTGTTTTAGGATGTCAAGCCCAGAGCGAAACAACAAGGGTACAGTGTCACATGGGACCCGAACGGAGATTTGTACTTATGGCAAAACAGAGATGTCTTCATACATCATCCGCTGACCGGAGAGAAAATCTGGTTCAACCAGGCAACGTCGCACAATGGCTCCTACTACAGGGACATGCCAAACTTTCACGGCACAGAGATCCCGGATGATAAGTTTCCCTGCCACACTTACTACGGCGACGGAAGTGAAATTGAACCGGAAGCGTTGCAGCACATCCGGGCAACAGCGTGGGAATGCGCAGTCGGGTTTCAGTGGAGAAGTGGCGATCTACTGGTGATGGATAACCTGGCCGTGCAACACTCGCGGATTGGGTTTACGGGCGATAGAAAGGTACTCGCCTATTTGACTGCCTGACGAAGCAAAGGCGCTTCTGCTTTTGTAAAAGAAGATAAATAAAACACTTGGAATGTTTAATGAAACCGTAACTAAACAAAAACACTCACTGGATATCAAGAAACAAACGACATCAAAAAATACCTCATCCTCCTTGTCTGTACCGTTTTCAGTCACAATTTCTTAATAACTGCTCGCTACTGCTCATGCTACTTTTGACTGGAGAACAAGGTTCGATTCAGGAACTAAATGATGCGCATGCTCCAACCAAGATTTTACTGACCATGGCGCTTGTTTTACCGACTGTGACATTCTAGTACCCAGTGCCCTACCTTATCTTCTCGAAATTTGAGTAACACACACAAAAGAAGAAACTAGAAAACAATAACCTCACGGTATTGGGGTAATTGAGGGTTTATTGCTCTCGGGTCAGACCTGTTTCAAATAGTATGTTATTTTCGGTATTTTCTTAACAAATTAGTTATACGATTTTTTATCGCAGCAATGACGTTACTTGCAATACAAATATTATATACACTAGTAACTTTACCTATAATAGCGAAATACACGATTTTGTCATTTCTCTTTTAATTATACAACTATCATTACTTGATTATTTTCTGATGTAATACGTACGAAATCAATTAAGAGGCCACTGCTGTTTTGCACAGCTGTTATATATACCCGTACATAAGTGATATAATGAAACAACGATCAGTTACGAAGGAGGTTTCTCTTATCAAGATGGTTTTCAGGGATGCCCTGGGGTAAATTGAACTTTCATACTATCATTTAAAAACGATAGTACTAAAACAGTGAAAAAAAATATTGACTAATTAACTTAAACATCGATAAAACGCCTTAACTCTCACAAAACAGCAAAAAAGGCGTAAAGAGAAAACGACCAGTCATCCTAGATTACTGTAACGAATAATCGTTCCCCACACTATCATCAACGGATTGTTTATAGTTTCGCCATTTGCCCTTGCGCCAGAAATTGAAATACCAAATCAGCGGTGTCGGCTGCACAGCCCCAGTGAACTGTTAAACCTGAACCACCGTGCCCATAATTATGAACAACCTGAAAACCAGAAAACAAAAGAATAAATCACCATGGCCATAATTATGAACAACCGAGAAACCAGAAAAGAAAAAGAAGAAATCATAGAAGAATGCTACGAACGTTTGTTTTAAATGGTTAGTCTTTTCTGTTCTACATTAGTTTTATGACACGAGTCAGCGATATGCAAGGCGAGTGAGAGACCCGTTTGGGCACGCGAGGCGCGTGCGCGACTTGTGTGTCCACGCGAGGCACGTGTGAGACGGTCCTGTCCTGATACGGCCCGGAGAAATAAGAGACTTTAAACATGCGCTCCAAAATTGCTTGGTAGATTATATTTATTTATTAATCATATAACGAGTGTTTTATTGCCAGAATTGCAAAACACCCATAGTTCCCCTACTAACTTTGAGACTCCGTTCTCTTCCAAGTTTGTCCTTAAATTTCATGACCTCTTTTTCAATTCTTGTGCAGGGTCGACCAGGTCGCAGTCCTACCCATGCTTCTAACACTGGAGCTCGCTGAAGAGAAGAAAAGAAACAAAGCATGTCAGACAATGCTAAACCGATCTTCCCAGCCGACTTTATCACGAGCATTGGGCAGCATTTCTTAAAACGTGGACGCAGCAAGGTCGAGTGGTTAGGGCGGCGGACTTGAAATCCGGAAGTCGCGTGTGGTTAAGTCCAGCTCTGACCACTAACTGGGGTCATTTCTCGGTAGATCCTAGTTCAACCCCTGGGTCATGCTTGAAAATAGCCAACTGATCTGCCTCCTTCCAGTTGGGATTTTTAAGTCTATTATGTTTAGATGATAAACATAATTTGATAGGATTTAACCAATGTAAGCGCATTGAGTTTTTTAAATGCGCCCAAAAAACTTTATTAGTATTATTATTATAATAATAATAATAATAATAATAATAATAATAATAATATATTTGTTTCTTTCTGTTTAAGTGGCATGCCTGTGAACTAGCTAGGTGNAAAACGATAGTACTAAAACAGTGAAAAAAAATATTGACTAATTAACTTAAACATCGATAAAACGCCTTAACTCTCACAAAACAGCAAAAAAGGCGTAAAGAGAAAACGACCAGTCATCCTGGATTAACGAATAATCGTTCCCCACACTATCATCAACGGATCGTTTATAGTTTCGCCTTTTGCCCTTGCGCCAGAAATTGAAATACCAAATCAGCGGTGTCTGCTGCACAGCCCCAGTGAACTGTTAAACCTGAACCACCGTGCCCATAATTATGAACAACCTGAAAAACAGAAAACAAAAGAATAAATCACCATGGCCATAATTATGAACACCCGAAAAACCAGAAAAAAAAAAGAAAAAACCATAGAAGAATGATACGAACGTTTGTTTTAGATGGTTAGTCTTTTCTGTTCTACATTAGTTTTGTGACACGAGTCAGCGATGTGCGAGGCGAGTGAGAGACCCGTTTAGCCACGCGAGGCGCGTGCGCGACTTGTGTGTCCACGTGAGGCGCGTGTGAGACACCCTATGGCCACCCTTTCGGTCTTCTTACTGTGCCAACTTCGACGGTCCTGTCCCGATACGGCCTGGAGAAATAAGAGACTTTAAACATGCGCTCCAAAACTAATTGGTAAATTCTATTTATTTATTAATCATATAACGAGTGCTTTATTGCCAGAATTGCAAAACATTTATAGTTCCCCTACTAACTTTGAGACTCCGTTCTCTTCCAAGTTTGTCCTTAAATTTCATGACCTCTTTTTCAATTCTTGTGCAGGGTCTACCAGGTCGCAGTCCTACCCATGCTTCTAACACTGGAGCTCGCTGAAGAGAAGAAAAGAAACAAAACATGTCAGACAATGCTAAACCGATCTTCCCAGCCGATTTTATCACGAGCATTGTGCAGCATTTCTTAAAACGTGGACGCAGCAGGGTCGAGTGGTTAGGGCGGCGGACTTAAAATCCGGAAGTCGCTTGTGGTTAAGTCCAGCTCTGACCACTAACTGGAATCGTTTCTCGGTAGATCCTAGTTCAACCCCTGGGTCATGCTTGAAAATAGCCCACTGATCTGCCTCCTTCCAGTTGGGATTTTTAAGCCTATTATGTTTAGATGATATATTTGTTTCTTTCTGTTTAAGTGGCATGCCTGTGAACTAGCTAGGTGTAGCTAAGCGCATTGACCACTATAAACAACAATATTTGAATATTTTTTTAAATATTTCATCGAGTTAATTACCTTGTGCATACATAGCACCAATGATTAGTGACTGGGATATGGTTAGAAGTTTTGTCATTGATTTTCTTCTCATTTTTTGTCACTGAATTCAACATGCCGCTAGCAAAATGCTCAAAACATCAATTTTTCAAGCCTGTGCATGCTTATTAACCAGCCGCGAGGGCCATACTTGTAGGATATCGGCCCTTATTAAGTCTGTATAGAAAAACCAAGGACCTATGTTCTTTGTTCTTTCAGTCCAGTCCTTACATAAGAGATTTACTAACCAGCTTTTGTGATCGAATTGGAGCTTGAAGAGCTTTAACCAGTCGCATATTTTCTAGATATAAGACTCACACTCTACTCGACCCAGGGAATTGGCTGTGTAAGGTTATAAGCCTTCTTAGTTATGTTTAGTCGTGTAATAAACTTATCCTTCTTCATAATCTTCTCATATATAATATTATAAATACACTACATACACTAGTTAAAATCACTCCACTTTTGCGCTCCGATGATTTACGCTGTCAAACACTTGACTTACTTTTAGACTAGGTATGAGCTTTGACGTGACCTCTAAGATGTGTCTGGTGTCATCAGCGCTAACTTTTGTGTCGAAGTTATTGTGATATCCAGTTCCCCCGAGAACAACTTCACCATTTGCTCTGAAGAAACAGTAACAAAGTGTCAAGCCTCGTCCACACTACGCCAGAGGCAATTGAAAACGCAGCTTAATTTCTACGGTTAGGCCTACCGTCCACACTAATCCGTCATGAAAACGGAGCTTTTCGAAAACGCTCTTCAAACCGGAGGAGTTTGAAAACGCCGGCTTTGCGTTTTAGTGTGGACCGAAAACGCTTTGAAAACGGAGCTTTTCGACAACAATGACTTCACGATAATCACGTGATCTCCTGCCCGAGTTTTCCTCAAACACAAATCCAAAATGACCGGTGATTGATCCGTTTTCAAATTTCTCTGGCGTAGTGTGGACAGAGAACATTTGATGCAGAGTTTAGTTTTTACTTGAGGGAGATTATAGATCCTTATTAGGCTCAGCCCTATGATAATAGAAACCCATTCTCATGGGCCCGCAATACACAGATTCCGCTGACATATTGCCATCCAATATCCAGACCACGTGATGATTCATTTGGGAGGTTACAATGATGCAATTTGCCACATGCAACTGATTTCATAGGAGTGTGTACAAAAAGAACAATATTGTAACTTCCCAAATGCATTGATATCCCTTGGGAGGCAACAAGGATTTAAACACGTTAGCTGAATCCACCTACGCATGTAGAATGTTGTAGATGTTCATTGGGCAGTTCCAGAAAAAATCCATACACCCCCCACAGAAGGGAATGGGAATTTCCCAGGGGGTGGGGTTCTGTAATACTGAAAAATTAAAGAAATGTATGAAGCTCCAGAGGGGTGGGGGGTCTTAGGAAAAATCCCTTTCGTGGGGGACGTATGGATATTTTCCGGGACTACACATTATAAAGAAATGTTGATCTTGGTCTTACTGTGGAAGAATATAACAGTATCTTTCCTGCTTTGCAAGGTGTTTATCTCCTTTGAAATAAGCCTCTTTAATCCACGGTGCATAAACCTAGAATGAGAATTCAATTAAAAAAATCAACAACAGTGGACCCCATTGATACAAGGTCATTAACAACCACCCTTTGACAATGTGGTGACTGCTGTAAAAAATGGTAAAGACGCGTTAAAGGGGTATCTGTATTACCTTGAAATAAAAAAATAAAAAAAAACTGCTTAAGCGTTTTCTTCAGGCAAAAATTAATGACTGTGTTGTAACAGCAGACCAATCACAATTCATATAATTATTTGGTTCTTTATCGACTACCATAAACTGCCACTTATAAGCGCCTCTGGTTATAAGCCCCTCCGGCTATAGGCCCAATTCTACCTGTAAACTGAAAAATACATCGTGTTATAAGCCTCCCCTCTAACTTTCCTTCTTTTGAATTCGTTTTCAAGCTTAATTGCTAGTAAATACAAAACGTATTTTGATCATTTTTTTTTATCTCGTTTATAAGCTCCCTTGGCTATAAGCCCCCTCAGATATAAGCCCCTCTGTTTATAAGCTCATTTAAAAGCCCTGGGCTTATAAGCGGCAGTTTATGGTAACTATTCCATCTGAAACAAGACAAAACAATTCCTCAATCAGTGACAGGTGTAGCACTTCTCATATAAATGATTTCATTAAGCTATTGCATTTGATTTCCTTATTTCAGTTGGGCAAGTCAAACATACATAATCATCATCATCATCATCATCATAATCAGAATAAGTTCTTGTTGCGCCATGGGATGCATAAGGCCTTAGGTCTAGCATTCTAGTTAGCTCAAACATGTCAGCTTCATAGCTTGCTGGATACATTTTAGCAAATGGAATGTGCTGTTCTACCTGAAAGAACCACACTGACAAAAACTGGACCATGTGTAATAATTGTAACTGTAACAGTCTTATACGCATACCACATGAACCAATTTGGGTAACAGTTTCATTTGGCTGTTTGGTATCATGTGCTGTCATTATGGAATAGCAGTGGCTTTGTTATTAAGTTTGGCTTGTAGTAACTTCCACTTGTGTGTGAGAAGATCAGTTTATAATCTTTATGTACATGATGAAAACACCATAAAACAGTTAATTAAGCTTACCCTTAAGACTTGACCTCTGACAGGATCCATGGAAAGATCATTGACTAATTCCCGAGCTCTCATCCCAGAGCAGTTAACGACAACATCATAAAGACCTGCAAGCTTTTAAATAAGCTGACACTTAAAGCAGTGAAATTTGATCTGATAACATAATTTTAGTACCTATGCATTTATTCATGAATTTTATTCATTAACAACAATGTCAAGAACAATAAACCCGAAGCAAATTTTAATGGCATGTGGCACTATGTTCATACTGAGCTCTCATACCTCGTCCAATGAATGTATTGTTTTTTTCACAACAGAACCACCCAGACGTTGAAATCTGAGAGTGAATAATATGCAGTGCATATACATGTAATGAATCATAACTTGCAGCAACACCTTCAACACATTGTGAGTCTAAAATTTATCAATTGTTCATGACGAGAAATGCTCAAGAAATGCTTAAAAAATTGCTTTTCAAGTCTGGTGGCAAATGTATTTAAGTCTATCAATTTCATATTGAGTGCATGAAAAAGAAACCCTGTTACCTTTCAAGAAGCCATGGGTTGTATTGCTTGCCATTAAAAAACAGTGTTCTGAAGGAATATCCAAATCTGCAAGACAGCACAAACATTAATTAAACAAAAATCAGAGATTAGATTGAGTTTGTCGATCAAGCGGTCCAGGTCCAGGTTCAAGTCCAGGTTCAAGTCCTGGCTGGGGACATTGTGTTTTTGTGCATGATACTACTTTCACAGTACCTCTCTTCACCCAGGTGTACAAACAGGTACTGGTGAATTGGGTGATTCAAGAGAATATCCATAACATACCACGGGCAGCATCTTGGAATTCTGAGGGAGAATGGGGGTTTTTTGGATTGGAATTCTATAGGCATGGGGGATAATGCAGTTTGGAATTCCAAATGCATCAGGGGGGGTTCAGCTCTGAATTTCCGGAGGGGGAAGACAGCGAGAGCTTCGCTCGAAATCACTGATCTGATAACTTTTCCAGTTTGTAAATCAAGCACGAACCGACCACAGAAGCATGGTAAAAATCAATCAGGCAGGTGTTAGCAATCACGCAGATGAGTGAGCAGATGGGTTGTGCCGCAAGCCCCTCACCGAAGAGGCCTTAAAGTTGATGAATTAGATGATTGATTAATGAAATAATTATAAAACAAGTCTGTGTTTCTTTCCGATCTCCCATTTTCAATGATCTTGTTGAGTGGGAAAAACTGGCACCAGTCTCTTGTTTCCTAATGGAACACCTGACAGATTTGTAGGCTGCATTACTAGTGGTCAGCAGTTACTCAATGACCAAAATTTTCAATATGGCAAGTGACGGCACATTGTGAACTTTACTTTTGCCTTTCACTGGTATCAATATGATCTACTCTCCTGAAGCTAATGAACTGAGAACAAAAAGTCTTATTTGGTGGTAAGTAACTTAACGATAACACTTAGAAGGAAAAGCTACCTTGTGCTTTATTAAACATTTATAAGAAAGTTGAGTTGCTTGTTTGCTTGACTGAAAATTGAGAGCAGAAATTTCTTGGAGGGGGTAAAAANACTGCTCATGCTACTTTTGACTGGAGAACAAGGTTCGATTCAGGAACTAAATGATGCGCATGCTCCAACCAAGATTTTACTGACCATGGCGCTTGTTTTACCGACTGTGACATTCTAGTACCCAGTGCCCTACCTTATCTTCTCGAAATTTGAGTAACACACACAAAAGAAGAAACTAGAAAACAATAACCTCACGGTATTGGGGTAATTGAGGGTTTATTGCTCTCGGGTCAGACCTGTTTCAAATAGTATGTTATTTTCGGTATTTTCTTAACAAATTAGTTATACGATTTTTTATCGCAGCAATGACGTTACTTGCAATACAAATATTATATACACTAGTAACTTTACCTATACTAGCGAAATACACGATTTTGTCATTTCTCTTTTAATTATACAACTATCATTGCTTGATTATTTTCTGATGTAATACGTACGAAATCAATTAAGAGGCCACTGCTGTTTTGCACAGCTGTTATATATACCCGTACATAAGTGATATAATGAAACAACGATCAGTTACGAAGGAGGTTTCTCTTATCAAGATGGTTTTCAGGGATGCCCTGGGGTAAATTGAACTTTCATACTATCATTTAAAAACGATAGTACTAAAACAGTGAAAAAAAATATTGACTAATTAACTTAAACATCGATAAAACGCCTTAACTCTCACAAAACAGCAAAAAAGGCGTAAAGAGAAAACGACCAGTCATCCTAGATTACTGTAACGAATAATCGTTCCCCACACTATCATCAACGGATTGTTTATAGTTTCGCCATTTGCCCTTGCGCCAGAAATTGAAATACCAAATCAGCGGTGTCGGCTGCACAGCCCCAGTGAACTGTTAAACCTGAACCACCGTGCCCATAATTATGAACAACCTGAAAACCAGAAAACAAAAGAATAAATCACCATGGCCATAATTATGAACAACCGAGAAACCAGAAAAGAAAAAGAAGAAATCATAGAAGAATGCTACGAACGTTTGTTTTAAATGGTTAGTCTTTTCTGTTCTACATTAGTTTTATGACACGAGTCAGCGATATGCAAGGCGAGTGAGAGACCCGTTTGGGCACGCGAGGCGCGTGCGCGACTTGTGTGTCCACGCGAGGCACGTGTGAGACGGTCCTGTCCTGATACGGCCCGGAGAAATAAGAGACTTTAAACATGCGCTCCAAAATTGCTTGGTAGATTATATTTATTTATTAATCATATAACGAGTGTTTTATTGCCAGAATTGCAAAACACCCATAGTTCCCCTACTAACTTTGAGACTCCGTTCTCTTCCAAGTTTGTCCTTAAATTTCATGACCTCTTTTTCAATTCTTGTGCAGGGTCGACCAGGTCGCAGTCCTACCCATGCTTCTAACACTGGAGCTCGCTGAAGAGAAGAAAAGAAACAAAGCATGTCAGACAATGCTAAACCGATCTTCCCAGCCGACTTTATCACGAGCATTGGGCAGCATTTCTTAAAACGTGGACGCAGCAAGGTCGAGTGGTTAGGGCGGCGGACTTGAAATCCGGAAGTCGCGTGTGGTTAAGTCCAGCTCTGACCACTAACTGGGGTCATTTCTCGGTAGATCCTAGTTCAACCCCTGGGTCATGCTTGAAAATAGCCAACTGATCTGCCTCCTTCCAGTTGGGATTTTTAAGCCTATTATGTTTAGATGATAAACATAATTTGATAGGATTTAACCAATGTAAGCGCATTGAGTTTTTTAAATGCGCCCAAAAAACTTTATTAGTATTATTATTATAATAATAATAATAATAATAATAATAATAATAATAATATATTTGTTTCTTTCTGTTTAAGTGGCATGCCTGTGAACTAGCTAGGTGAAGCTAAGCGCACTGACCACTATAAACAATAACATTTGCACATTTTTTTGAATATTTTTTTGAGTTATCTTGTGCATACATGAAACCAATGATTAGTGACTGGGATATGGTGAGAACTGAATTATGTCAGTCATTGATTTTCTTCTCCTTTTTTGTCACTGAATTCAACATGCCGCTAGCAAAATGCTCAAAATGTTAATTTTTCAAGGCTGTGCATGCTTATTAACCACCCGCGAGGGCCACACTGGCAGGACATCGGCCGTTACTTAAGTCTGTATAGAAAGACCAAGGGCCGATGTTCTTTGTTCTTCCAGTCCAGTCCTGGAATAAGAGATTAACTAACCAGCTTTTGTGATCGAATTGGAGCTTGAAGAGCTTTAACCAGTCGAACATTTTCTAGATATAAGACTCACACTCTAATCGGCCCGGGGAATTGGCTGTATAAGATTATAAGCCTTCTTAGTTATGTTTAGTCGTGTAATAAACTTATCCTTCTTCATAATCTTCTCATATATAATATTATAAATACACTACATACACTAGTTAAAATCACTCCACTTTTGCGCTCCGATGATTTACGCTGTCAAACACTTGACTTACTTTTAGACTAGGTATGAGCTTTGACGTGACCTCTAAGATGTGTCTGGTGTCATCAGCGCTAACTTTTGTGTCGAAGTTATTGTGATATCCAGTTCCCCCGAGAACAACTTCACCATTTGCTCTGAAGAAACAGTAACAAAGTGTCAAGCCTCGTCCACACTACGCCAGAGGCAATTGAAAACGCAGCTTAATTTCTACGGTTAGGCCTACCGTCCACACTAATCCGTCATGAAAACGGAGCTTTTCGAAAACGCTCTTCAAACCGGAGGAGTTTGAAAACGCCGGCTTTGCGTTTTAGTGTGGACCGAAAACGCTTTGAAAACGGAGCTTTTCGACAACAATGACTTCACGATAATCACGTGATCTCCTGCCCGAGTTTTCCTCAAACACAAATCCAAAATGACCGGTGATTGATCCGTTTTCAAATTTCTCTGGCGTAGTGTGGACAGAGAACATTTGATGCAGAGTTTAGTTTTTACTTGAGGGAGATTATAGATCCTTATTAGGCTCAGCCCTATGATAATAGAAACCCATTCTCATGGGCCCGCAATACACAGATTCCGCTGACATATTGCCATCCAATATCCAGACCACGTGATGATTCATTTGGGAGGTTACAATGATGCAATTTGCCACATGCAACTGATTTCATAGGAGTGTGTACAAAAAGAACAATATTGTAACTTCCCAAATGCATTGATATCCCTTGGGAGGCAACAAGGATTTAAACACGTTAGCTGAATCCACCTACGCATGTAGAATGTTGTAGATGTTCATTGGGCAGTTCCAGAAAAAATCCATACACCCCCCACAGAAGGGAATGGGAATTTCCCAGGGGGTGGGGTTCTGTAATACTGAAAAATTAAAGAAATGTATGAAGCTCCAGAGGGGTGGGGGGTCTTAGGAAAAATCCCTTTCGTGGGGGACGTATGGATATTTTCCGGGACTACACATTATAAAGAAATGTTGATCTTGGTCTTACTGTGGAAGAATATAACAGTATCTTTCCTGCTTTGCAAGGTGTTTATCTCCTTTGAAATAAGCCTCTTTAATCCACGGTGCATAAACCTAGAATGAGAATTCAATTAAAAAAATCAACAACAGTGGACCCCATTGATACAAGGTCATTAACAACCACCCTT